GCGTTCGTTGGAGACCTAGTGAACGTCTCGCACTTGCTGTCAGAGCTCTCGATTTGAAATCTGTGAAATCGGTTACTATTTCAATGGATCCGCTCTATCCAAGAAACCTTTCGCTGAGGTTTGTCTCCAGGTTAAACGCTGTTGCAAAAAAATTAGTCACAGCAAACGATCGTACTATTACTACCTTGGTTAGCATAAAAAATTTCTTGTGTTTCTGACATCAGAACTTATCGAATGTAGCTGACTGCAACGACTTTTGAAGAAAACAAAATAAAAGTTTGCTTGCACTGACTTCTCAATCAAATAAAATTTCTACAGTCGCAAGCTTTTTAGGAAAAATTTACATCGTGCGCGAAACTGCATAGGCTGAAGTATGAATCGTGGAACCGCCTAGTGCAGTGGGTGGAGAGAAATAAATGCCTGAAAATCGTTATATTGTTTGAATGAGACATGAGCTTTTGAAATATTCATGGTATTCACCCCCTGTTTCATTGGGAGTGGCGGCTGGAGGGCGGAGCTGCGACCGCTAATTAAGCCTGAGAAATGGTTAGAGAGCAAACACACGGGAGAGACGCGGAGCTCAGAGCCCCACCCGCGCCGCTTCCACTGCTACAGAGAGCAAAATTACCAATTCGTGTCGGGATTTTGCTTGGCAGAGAATTCAGCATTGCAATTTCCTTTGTAAAGGCTGTATTCTAAGCAGCTTATCTGGGTACTCGAAAAAATTTTGTGCTGCCAGTTTTCAATAACTTGTTTGTGTTATTTAGCAACGACACAGCGGTTTGCAGTCTTTTTTGTGCTTTTTAAGATAACTATACTTATTTAAAGTGGGCAAGGAATCAAGCAAGAGTGACCAGTACACAGTTCTTAGCCGTTGCATCTATAGTCCAGGATTTTGTGTCAGAAATCCTCAAATTTTTGCAATTCTTTGTTTGAGCTGAGTTTGCCTTTTGTGGTTTTTGCCTTTCATGAATCAAAGCGGTTTCCTAACAACTGCTTGTCCAGAATAAGGGATCCTTTCTGGTACAAACACTCTGTTTTGAGATGACATTTCAAAACTAAGCTTGATGAATTTTCTTTGCAAAGCGGGCAACTTGCATACTTACAATTTTTTTTCAGAACATTCTGGCATAGCATTGTCAGTCCCAAAGCTCGACTTACCAATCCAGCTCTCAAAGTGACCACTGAAATTCGAAATGACCGACGGCCACCATTCTTTATCGCCACCCTTGGTAAAAATTCTTGTGGTCAAGAAAATTTATTCAATATTTCTAAGTTTAGATACCGGAAAGAAACTTCATTTCAACACTGATAATATGCCTGCTATGGATCTGATAATGCGATTCAACAAGCTGCTTGGAAATCCTGAATTAGGAAAGTCCGGAACTCGACCAAGACCAAAGTTATAGCGTTGTTGTGTGACAAAGTTTCAATATTTATCTACCGATCGCTCTTGACCTCAGTGTGAATATAAGACATTTGGTTAGTAATAAAGTAGAATATTTAATTTGTATCTTCCAGTGGCAGTCGCAGGGGTGAAGGGACACAATTTTTTCGAGTGAGGATGCGTCTCGTTAGCCACTTTTATTAGGTTGTCCCAAAAGTAAACTCCTTTTCTAATTAAA